AGAAACCTCTATAAAAACAGGGGGAAAAGACAAGACAGAGCTCAAATTACAGACGTCAGTAATGTTCACTGGATTATATTGCATGTCAGCACGCTGGTGATAGAAAAAGGCGCAGTGTGGTTACGTGCATTTTATTTCCGTTTAATATCACGACTTCCTATAACACCTGAAGGCACCTGACTGGTCCTTAGCGGTGTTAATGCTGCCTTTCATGCTGCTTGGCTAAATTCTGCCCTCTGCTGGTCAAACTGTAGAAGTGCTTTCTAGTATAATCTTATTCTCACACCTACCAAATATTCATTTCTATAACGTACAAATGTATTATTACACATACAATTTAATGGGTATTTTTCGTTCATGTTATGGAATAAGGATACTCGCAATTGTGTTTAACAGTGCAATTATTAAAGAGTATAATAATTCAGAAGCATTTGAGTCATTTTACATCCAGTCAGAAATGCATTCCTGTTTTGTTAATGAACTTTTAGGGGATCATCGTTTTTGCTGGCTGCAGACTACAAAGCCCTTCAATTCAATACCAAACTCTTCAACCTATTGACCAGCAGCAGCAACGGCCTTTGCTTATGTTTCCGGGTTATTCCACTATTGATTATTCCACTCTTTACTGCGGAGTTTAGGACTTCCGCCCAGCTAATTAGGCTTCATGCACTTACCACAGCTAGTACTATAGACGGTGCAAGGCGTCGGCGGGCTAGACAGAGGACAGCACTGTCCCGGTTTTTATGCGCCAGCATTACCAAATTGTGACATCGTCAGCGTTATATTTTAAGAAATCTCTACATCAGTAAAATGGTCAGCGTGTATTATACTATAAGACTATAACGTACAAATAAGGTGACACATATTATATTCTCGATATAGCCAGTAAATACTAAACCCAGCCTTCTGTTTTAGATACAGTTTGGCAGACTTGCTCAAAAAGACCAGGTACAGTCTCTGTAGCTGTGATTTATTAAGTGCTTTTAATTGGATCAGTCTTTGATCCCTGCTTTTTCTATTTTTCTTCGGATTAATTTACGGCCCAATTACAACGTATGGACAAGTTCAGAATTATGGCAGGACACAAATTATCAGTCATTTGCTGGGAGATGGCATTGCGTAATTGAATATCAGTCCCAGATCAATATTTTGAAGCTGAAAAGGTTGTAACAGGCGTGACACCAATCTGGACTGAATAAATATTTTTGCGGTTAATGTCATGTTTCACGTAGAAAGCAGCATTCTCATCATTTTTTTATATGCAAAAGCGGCCATAATAGGAGCATTGATGGTTAAATCCTTGAACCCACTTTTCCCTTATTCTTTTTTTTGGGGAGGGGCATCATTCTTTCAACCATAATATCTTGCATGACAACTGAAATATAATTTTGACGGTTTTGTGCTCCTAGTTTCGCTGTCTAAAATTGTGTAGACTACTTAGAAACAAAAACAATGCAAAGGCCATGTTTCCCATTCATATTTAAGAAATGCCGTAAATATTTAAATAATTATCTATATAACATATAAATATCTAGCCTCCTGATTTACATCAGGCGTATATCAAAGCTCCTAAAGCTCCCATCTGGGCTTTACGGCCGTAGGAAATCTCCAAGGCTGGGGTATTTGAAAAACACACGGTAACAGGCAGCATTAGTCTCAGGTTACGATCGGCACGGCGCGGCCAGACGGACGGCGAGCGCCGGGTGACCCGCTGAGGGGCCCGGCTCGCCCGCTCCCATCATCCAGCCTTTACTTCCATCCCGTAAAAATGATCCCAGCTTGAGGAGAGCTAGCATTAACATTTGCATTTTATAGCAGTCGCGGAGATTTAAAGCGAGGGATATATCAGCACTGAGCAGACAGAATTAGTTAACAATGCATTATCTACCTTTTATGGCATCTATAACTCCTTTCCTCAGCCAGAATGGGAATGGCGGTGGGGGTGAGCAGGCTAAACTTTGCACTCGCCTCTTCGTCAACAGCAGCCTTGATCGTGTCTTTCGTACTTAGCAAGGCTCCGGTGGACGAGACGGCTATTAAACTAGGCCCTGCATAAGACTCGAATTTTTAAAACAAAAATTGTGCAGCGATTTTAACGATGGTCCTTGGCAATGCGGCACTATGTCTAGTATTCAAAGCCGTCTTTGTCCTTGGGAAACCTCTTGGTCGGCCCAAGGGTTAATTTCAATTGAATCGCCATATGTAAAGTAGATAAGTTTTACACGTGTAATTACATTAATCTCCCCTCACATTATTATTGTACAGAATATTCTTTAAACAACCTACACGTCTCCAGCAAAAAGGGGGCACTTCATAAATGATGCATTTAAAATTGCTTGAACAGGAAGGTTATTTATTGATCGTGATTTCTCCTTCAATGGAGCCTGCCTAACAAAATGCAGATTTCAGTGTTCAAAAGGAAATGGTTCGCCAATTAGCTACCATTCAAAGGACCTTCCTCCTCCGTCCCCAGCTGTGCCGCATGCATGGACCCTGGGCTTAAGTATAAGTACAGGTGGCTATTACAGAAACCCATCAGAGTTTCAGCCAAAATCTCCTGCTCAGCGAGTCCAAGTGATCTCTGGAACTACCATGCATGGAGCACCAATCAGAAAAGAAAGCCATTCTTAAGTACACCATTCATCAGAATCATCATTAGATGGTTGGTGCTTCACCCAGGATTGACCCTCTAAAAGATCTGCTCCACCTTATAGTGCTTGAAGACCCTGAGGAGACCTACAGTGTACTGGTCAGCCATGTTTACAAAGTAACCACTCAAACCAGCACAGTGGCTTGGTGGGCTCTGCATAGAATCTGTAACTCCTCTTGTAGTTATGATGATGTTGGGTTTTAAAGCTGCTGTAGAAGTCGTTACTTATCACTACTCCATTCTGACCCTTTATGTCACTGGTTCGCGCTCAAGCCTCTGCTGCCCTGGCCAAAGTCTCATGGCTTCTGATGGGATTTTCAAAAGCAAGTCAATGTAGCATTATAGCTTTCCCTGGCATCTGCAGGCTACAAGGCACAAGCTGAATTAGCAGTGAAAAGCCTGGAAAGCAGGACCATGGGTGAACTTAAGGTTTCTTTGTAATACACCCTGAAAGTTCATCTCTGTGTGTCACATGACGATCTATGTATCTTTACCGTCATTTTTGCACTCAGGAGCACAGTCCTGGTTATTGGTCGTCTCTTACTATGGTTCTCAGCAGGGGCGTTTGAAAAGATCAGGGGTTAAGTCAAGTTTACCTGGGGCTTGAATTGTGTTTTTGAAGGAAGATTAGCATCGGGGCTAAAATACTCAGAACTTTAGGCTTAAAATCCTCCAATCTATAGCGCCAAGTGATCGGACCTAACGACGGCCACGGTTCTCACAGTTGTGTTCTCTCAAATGATCATTTTATTAGCAGATTTTAAAAGATGTTTCCTTTGTACGATATTCTATGTCAATGACCCGCTACCCCAGTAAAACCAGTCTATATCAATGACCCGCTACCCCAGTAAAACCAGTCTATGTCGGTTTCCTCAATGCAGCAGTCTTCCACTCTATATACGTGACCCAGAAGTATCTCTGTATCACTTCCTGTACCGGGAAAAACAGTCTTAGGGAAAATTTACTGGCAATCTTCCCTTAAGAGTTTTTTCCAGAGAGTTCCATCACCTTGGAGAGGAGCAGGAATGCAGAAAATCCCAGTGAAAGGTAACGGAAGGGAAGACAGAGACGGAGAACACATGCCAGTTCTGCTTTTTCCTGGCCCGAGAGGACAGAGGTATTTTCAGGACATAGAATTGCATTTTGTGAGGATGCACACCCAGACTGTAAATTAGCATCTGATAACACTGTAGGGAATTTGAGCAAGACCAAACTAGAAGGATTTTAACTCTGTTACCGCAAGGGGCTTCAATGCTACAAGTGAAATATGGGAAGTTACAGGAGCCCAGGACACTGGACTTTTACTTTGTAGCAGCTTTCCACAGAAAGGGGCAAGGTTTGCATTTTGGAACCCAAACCCCAACTCAGCTTTAAAAGTCCCATTTCAGCAGTACTGCTGCAGGCGTTTTCGCATTCGGCACTTACGCTCCCTGTCCTGTCCTCTATTGTTTTGATGGATGGTTCTTGCGTGGTCTCCTTTTAAACATTTGCTATGGTACTTGAAGGCCACAGGCTGCACTGTAAATAAACTTCACAGCAGACATTATGTAGTACCATCTATCCAGGTCCAAGATCATCCAGGGAATCTCCCTCCCACTCACACGAACAGTAACAGAACTGAGCTGTGTTCTTCCATCCACAAACATGAGATTGAAACATATGCTCTGGTGTCAACTGCTAACATCACTCATTCTGCCAGTTACATAAAAATAAATCTAATCAAAATTACTGTGAAAACATGCTTTCAGGATATAAAATTATTAATTTAAATACTGCTGCTTGAAATAAAAATAATTTCTGAGCAACTGGAAAACTAAGAAATTTAGGGAAAAATGTACCTGCGATCCAAGTACATCAAATATATTGCCAAATTTCAGTGCCATAAAATTAGACTGGTTAAATGGATGGCTGAACAAAAACATTATGTAAGAACCCTTTTATTACCATAAAGCTTCTAAACGTCTGGAATATCCGTTTAATTTCAAATTAACTTATAGGTTATTAAACCCTACATTTTTTTTCTGTGTACCTGGTTAACAGTGTATAAAATTGTACTGTGGCACCCTCTACTGGTTGAACGTGAATGTCATTATTAACGATTAGGCCGTGCACTTCTGTAAATACAGCTGAATAAAAAATTAGTGGAACAGCAACTAAAACCTAACTATTTAGCAAGGTCCTAGCATTTGCCATATGTTGCATACAGTGACTTCACTTTAAAACAGGCAATAAGCGATACAATCACACAAAGTAATTATCTGAAGACAATCACACAAAACCATTCAATGCCAAACCCATTGTGTAACTCAACTGGCAACACACTCCTCTTTGGCACAAAGACAAAAGGTACTACAACATTAAAAACTCTGTTTACTACAATTACAGAACATACAAATGACAGACACCAAGGGATCTATACACGAATAATTCAGAATGAATGGCGGCACATTTTAATCGGAGATACTTTCCGCATATTAAAAACAGGCCGAAGCTCCGGATGACCGTGTGTAGGACAACCTCAGCAGCAAGAACCCAGAAATGTGGCCACCTCTGCCCACGGCAGGACCCATAACAGCATATTTAAGGGTTTACTAAATCCCATTTTAAACCACTACTTTGCCCCCCCCCCCCCAAAGGGATTTTGTAAGATTTCCAATATTACAGCATTTCAAAAACTGTACATTCTTAACTGCTCATATTAAATAAAACAATGTATATTAGAAAAGAATAAAGCTGACAGAAGTGGGTATTAGAAATCCTACAAAATTATAATAAAAAAAAAAACACTGAGGCTACAATGTTATGAGATTGAGAAGAGGACAGGCACCAAGGAAGGTCTTAATGAGAGAATGAGATGTTCTGAAGCCTTCAGGAGACCGGCACTCGGCCCCGGGGAACGCAACATGCTCAGGGTTACATCGTTACAGACTGTTAAAACAGCACAAATGGCATATGAATCCTTTGTGCTGGTCATATACAAAATGTCACTTCAAAGTGCCACTTAATTATAAGCAAACAGCATGAAAAAACTATAGATTTTCATTAGAAATAGACACACATTTCCCCCTCCCCCCAACTGTTAATAACGAAATAGTGAGATTTGTATCATTCGGCTATAGCAACAATTCACCTCATTTAAAGAATTTTGAGCTTTAAATATAAGCCTGTCACTCTGTTCTCAATGTGTAAATCATTTACTCACACAACCAAATTTACACACAAATATTCAATGATGTTGAATATCAAAGTGCTTTACTCCAATAACACAGGATGCTAGAAGACAGCATTCTGTGTGAGCAGACAAGTTCCCAACAAATGAAAAAATTTAATTGGTTTAAGAAATCACATTTGAGCACCTATGGTTAAACAAGTTCATCCCAGAATGGAATATGATTCGTTCTCAATTATTCCACTGAATAAAGTCAGAGTGACTACATGAAAATGCTCAAGAGAAAGGGGGGAAAAGTGTGATGTTTAGTTCACAGCATCACATAAAACAGAATTGGGTAGAATAACCTGACTTAGACTGGGACAGAGTAATTCTCTTTAAAAGTCCAACTAAGACTGTAGAAGGTGAACGTTTGAAAGGAGGACAGACTTGGCTAAACAGGAAGGGGAAGCAAGTCCTCCAAAAGAAAATGAAATGAAATACAAAATGAATACCAGTCAATTATCACCTGGAGAGAAATAAAGCAAAGATTAAAAATAAACATCCCGCTCTGTACGGGGCCCCCTGCAGGTGACAGGCGGCTGTCACACGGTCACCCCGCCCTTCTCCTTGTCCCCGTCTTCGTGCCACGTGAGACGCTCCTCGTAGAAGGCGATGACGATCTGTGGGCATTTCTTATTGGCCTCTTTGGCCAGCACGAGGTCAGCCTCGTCGGAGTCTTTCCTGTGGGACACAGTGGAGATAAGTTCTCAGATTGATTTTTAAAATGTTTAAATCAACATGGAGACTTTCAGCCACTTGATGTAATCAAACTCCTGACTAGACCTAAAAGAAACAAACAAAACAAACAAGTGTGTGACTGTGTCTTTGCAAGGGGGGGGAGGCATTACACACACACAC